TTATAAATATATAAATAATTCACATTCAAAAATGAAAGTGAACGGGCACATACTGGACGCTTGATACGAATATGCATGCGGGTGGTTGTACGTAGGGGTTGAAAATGAAAAAAAAAAAATTTAATCAAGAGCGTCAGATTTTCAAAGGGGGTGTTAAGTGAACCAAAAAAAAGCTCTCATTCAATAATCTGACGATTTCGATGTGACGAAAACTCGCGGCTATTATTATAATGTGCATTTTGAAATACTCAAGCGTGTCAGATTAAGATATATATGGTTCATCTTTATGTCCTAGATGTCCTAGATGTACTGCATCATAATCTGACGATTATATAGAGGGATTCGCCTAATAAAAAAAAAAAAAATTTAAATCATTGAACTTAGTTTAATCTTGTGCGTAACACTTGCCGGAGTAACTCCGATTCACAGGGTGGCAAATTGAAAATCTTTGTGACAATCATCAGGATCTTAATTTTCCATATGCTTTAAAATAATTACTACGTAAAAAGTATTGAACAAATATCTAAGCAGTTACCTTCCATTAATATTGATCCGATTTGCACGCATGGTAATTCCGGACACTCAAGGAGAAGGGTTGTGATTTGTCTTTTACCTTGTACGTCTTATTGAAGATGACAATCCTAACTTGATTGACATCGTCTACCTTTTTCAACAAATAGAAGTGGCAAGTAAATCCTGCACATTATGCTCCTTTGATCCCAAATCCAGAAATGCTACTTGGAAAATTTATAAATTCATCAGAAAATGCAAAGGTTTTTTTTCCCTCGTCGGTACAATGCTGGGTTGAAATCGCAATCAGTGAACGCATGCAAAGCTGGAAGCGCCTTCGAAATTTGTGGGTCTAATTTTTTGTAGAGAGCGGATACGTCGATGAATCGGCCTGCATTGCTAACTCCAAGATCCATCCAAACTTCTACTCTTGCTTGCAGGTGTTCCATATTCGCTAACATGATGACCACTATGTCAGTATCAGAAGTTCTGATAGAAATAGTAGAAAGGCGGAGAGCGAAATATAGGCATCACGCAGCTGCACGCATTAAACTTTATCGACGAATATTTGTTATTTCGGCTTGCGGAAATCGTCAGATTATATACTTTTCGTTATCCTTGAATAATTTCCATCCAAATTAAAAAAAAAAACTAGCTACGCTCGAGAATGTCGAGATGACGTTTTTTTCTTACAACTTTGCTGCCCTCCCCTTTCTTTAAGTCACTCTCAAATTGTCAGATTAGTGGCATATTTTTATTTATTTTATTGTATTTTATTGGTTTTATTTTTTTTATTGTATTTTATTGTATTTTATTGAATTTTATTGTATTTCATATGTCTTTATGTAATTTAAGTATCTATTTTATCTCTTTAATGTATTTTATAAAAACTCTTTATCATATATTTAAAGAAGGGGTTAGGTGGAAGAATAGCCTTAGGCTAAATCTCGCCCCGCAAATGTACTCATGTATTTATTTATTATAGTACAAATAAAGACGTTTTATTATTATTATTATTATTATTATTATTATTATTAATTATTATTATTATTATTATTATTATTATTATTATTATTATTATTATTATTATTATTATTATTATTATTATTATTATTATTATTATTTATTATTATTATTATTATTATTATTATTATTATTATTATTATTATTATTATTATTATTATTATTATTATTATTATTATTATTATTATTATTATTATTATTATTATTATTATTATTATTATTATTATTATTATTATTATTATTATTATTATTATTATTATTATTATTATTATTATTATTATTATTATTATTATTATTATTATTATTATTATTATTATTATTATTATTATTATTATTATTGTTTAGTTTCACAGTGTTCATGTTGTAAGGGTACACTGGTTTTTTATTATTATTATTATTATTATTATTATTATTATTATTATTATTATTATTATTATTATTATTATTATTATTATTATTATTATTATTATTATTATTATTATTATTATTATTATTATTATTATTATTATTATTATTATTATTATTATTATTATTATTATTATTATTATTATTATTATTATTATTATTATTATTATTATTATTATTATTATTATTATTATTATTATTATTATTATTATTATTATTATTATTATTATTATTATTATTATTATTATTATTATTATTATTATTATTATTATTATTATTATTATTATTATTATTATTATTATTATTATTATTATTATTATTATTATTATTATTATTATTATTATTATTATTATTATTATTATTATTATTATTATTATTATTATTATTATTATTATTATTATTATTATTATTATTATTATTATTATTATTATTATTATTATTATTATTATTATTATTATTATTATTATTATTATTATTATTATTATTATTATTATTATTATTATTATTATTATTATTATTATTATTATTATTATTATTATTATTATTATTATTATTATTATTATTATTATTATTATTATTATTATTATTATTATTATTATTATTATTATTATTATTATTATTATTATTATTATTATTATTATTATTATTATTATTATTATTATTATTATTATTATTATTATTATTATTATTATTATTATTATTATTATTATTATTATTATTATTATTATTATTATTATTATTATTATTATTATTATTATTATTATTATTATTATTATTATTATTATTATTATTATTAATTATTATTATTATTATTATTATTATTATTATTATTATTATTATTATTATTATTATTATTATTATTATTATTATTATTATTATTATTATTATTATTATTATTATTATTATTATTATTATTATTATTATTATTATTATTATTATTATTATTATTATTATTATTATTATTATTATTATTATTATTATTATTATTATTATTATTATTATTATTATTATTATTATTAATATTATTATTATTATTATTATTATTATTATTATTATTATTATTATTATTATTATTATTATTATTATTATTATTATTATTATTATTATTATTATTATTATTATTATTATTATTATTATTATTATTATTATTATTATTATTATTATTATTATTATTATTATTATTATTATTATTATTATTATTATTATTATTATTATTATTATTATTATTATTATTATTATTATTATTATTATTATTATTATTATTATTATTATTATTATTATTATTATTATTATTATTATTATTATTATTATTATTATTATTATTATTATTATTATTATTATTATTATTATTATTATTATTATTATTATTATTATTATTATTATTATTATTATTATTATTATTATTATTATTATTATTATTATTATTATTATTATTATTATTATTATTATTATTATTATTATTATTATTATTATTATTATTATTATTATTATTATTATTATTATTATTATTATTATTATTATTATTATTATTATTATTATTATTATTATTATTATTATTATTATTATTATTATTATTATTATTATTATTATTATTATTATTATTATTATTATTATTATTATTATTATTATTATTATTATTATTATTATTATTATTATTATTATTATTATTATTATTATTATTATTATTATTATTATTATTATTATTATTATTATTATTATTATTATTATTATTATTATTATTATTATTATTATTATTATTATTATTATTATTATTATTATTATTATTATTATTATTATTATTATTATTATTATTATTATTATTATTATTATTATTATTATTATTATTATTATTATTATTATTATTATTATTATTATTATTATTATTATTATTATTATTATTATTATTATTATTATTATTATTATTATTATTATTATTATTATTATTATTATTATTATTATTATTATTATTATTATTATTATTATTATTATTATTATTATTATTATTATTATTATTATTATTATTATTATTATTATTATTATTATTATTATTATTATTATTATTATTATTATTATTATTATTATTATTATTATTATTATTATTATTATTATATTCACTTTTTAGCATGTAATTAATTCACCCTACCTTAATCTGACGCGCTCGAGAATTTCTGATAATCAATTTTTTTTACTAATCTGATGCTTTATCCTTCACGGGTGGCCTTACATATGGGGCTCATATTTGGTGGAGGTACTTAACTGGGTACAAGCTATCCCTCTGTATATTAATCTGCCGCGCTTTAGTAAATCCCGAAATCCCCGCTTGGGCTCCCCTATTATATGGTCTACAATCGCATAAGCGGCTAACGAATTTTGCCTCTACGGCAACTACACAGTATCCCGAAAGGTCTGTGGTAGCTGTTTATACATTCTCTGAATATTGGCGCGAACAAGCACTTGCTGGTAGTTCATCCTACCAGTGTTCACCTATGCTATCGGAGTTAGGATATTTCTCAGATTAATTTTTTTCTGCTCCAAAATTTTTGTGTCTATTAGTTTGTAATAATTATAATCAATAGGTAAGTTTTCTGAGAACATATTTATACACTTTATTCAGTGATCAATTTAGTTTTTAATAGCTTCTAAGTAACAAAAAATTCAATATTATTTTGAATTGAGATTATAACCTCAAAAACACTTATTATTTCCTTTTGAGAGCTAATATTTTAATTTATAGCATATCATTTATATATGTTAGAAAAAAGTTACATATATGTCTAGGGTAATGAATGTAGATTAGTGTTTGACTAATGCGCTAGGAAAATATTTTCAAAAGTATTTAGAAAATGGTAGGATTATGTCCAATAATTCGAACAAAATTGGAGGAAGAAGCACGTAATTGTTATGTGAGTGATGCAAAATATTGTGCATCCGATTTTGGAGAAGATAAAGATGATATAATCTTTGGTGGCTCTTTTTCTGCTTAAACATCAAAGTCATCCTAACCAGCTTTTGACGTTCAAGCGGATACTTTGACCAATAGAAGTTTGAGAAAAAGGATTCTTATGAAACCCTTTACACCAAATGAAAGTGATACCGAGGATGAAATCTATGATGACTCCGATGCAGATCCAGATTTTGAATTAGAAACTGACAAGTCACATAAGATTTCAAGATGGTTCTCTTCCGATAATGAAACTCCTGATAATGAATCTCCCAATAATGAATCACCTTCCGATAATGAGAACGGAGATGAAGTGATATCTGAATCAACTAGTAATTCATTAGCCAAAGATTTAACCAAACCATTGAAGTGGTTCGAAGAAGGTAAGCAGAATCTAAAATGTATTAATTATTTATTTACCGAATCTTCGAGTGTGAAGGTTGAACGTTTCAGTGGATTTGTCGAAACCTATAGATTATTTTAAAATTTATTTTGACAACGAAATATGTCAAAACATAGTTACTGAATCTAATTTGTATACGAGTCAAAACGGTACACATCTAGAGCTAAATTTAGAAGAATTGCATGCCTTTCTAGGTATAATTATAATAATGGGTTTACACAGACTGCCCAGTATGAGATTATATTGGTCTACAAATAAGAATTTTAACGTTGAATGCATTAGTAAAGTATTTACTTTGAAACGTTTTCTAAAAATACTTTAAGATACCTGCACCTCAATGATAATGAAGAAATGCCTCAGCCTAACACTTTAGATTTCGACAGGTTATACAAGTTTAGGCCGCTGGTAACTCATCTTACCAATAAGTTTTCTACTGATTTTACACCTCACAGAAACGTATCAATTGACGAGAGCATGTGCGCTTTCAAAGGACGAACAACTTTGAAGCAGTATATGCCAATGAAGCCTATCACAAGAGGCTTCAAAATATGGGCCATGGCATCCTCCAAAACTGGATATTTATTAAATTTTCAAATCTACCAAGGTAAATCTGATGCACAGAAGGATATTACATTGGGTGAACGTGTTATGTTGCAATTATCCGAAAAGTTTTGCAATCGCGATTATTGCCTATACTTTGACAATTTTTTTACTACTATTAGCTTTATGCACAAACTATTAGACAAAGATTTATTTGGTTGCGGCACTTTTAGAACCGATCGGAAATATTTTCCGAAACAACATTTATGCCCTGATAGAGAGCTTGCGAAGAACCACTCGGACTCTGTTGCCTCTGGTGATATATCTGTCTGTAAGTGGAAAGACCGTGGAAAAAAATATGTGTGTGTGGTTAGTAATAGACATGTCTATGATGAAATGACGGAAGTTTTACGAACAAATCAAAGAGGAGAGCGAGAAAGCGTACTGTGCCCCCAATCCATTGCTGACTATAATCATTATTAAAATTATATGGGTGGGGTAGACCTCTTCGATCAGTATTATGACTCTAAAAGATGGTGGATAAAAATTTTTATTACCTCATTGATGCCTCAATCGTTAACAGCCATGTATTATACAAGGAAACGTTAAAAAAACAACAACCTGGTAATAAACCCATGAAAGCGTTGCAGTTTCGGAGTGATCTAGTAGACGAACTTATTGGTAGCTTTACACAAAGAAAAAATCTGGTCCTTCACGACAGAACTCTAAATTCAAAACAAATTCTCATCTTCCAATCAAACGCACCTACCGAAGATGTGTACTATGTAGTTCGTCAAAAAAAACTTGCCAAGTTACTTTATGTAAAAACTGCTTTGCTCCCTATCATCAAAAATATTATAGATTTAATAATACTTTAGTTTATTTTTATGTGAAAATACATTTTTATTTTATGCAGTAAAATTTTATTCAATCAAATAAGTGTGTTTCTTTTTAATGGTAGCTATATACAGGGTGTACTAATAAAAACTCCCAGGCCGGATATTTTGGTAAGTAATAGAGATATTTTAATTCTGTAAAAGCCAGTTCATAGAGAGCTAAGAGAGTTTCAGTTTTAGATAATAATTAATTTTAAATAGGTCAATAGGTAGATGGCGCTGCGCTCAATATATTTTTTTCGATGGGTAGATCTTTCTTATTTAATGCATCTTTTAATGCAGGCAGATTTTGTTTTGTAAACTAATTTGATAAATTTAGCCATATTTGATATACAGAGTGGGTCACTCAAAATAGTTTCATCCTGTTTTTCGGCATTAATCATTGGATTTTAAGAAAATGCTAAAACAAATCGATTTTTATTCCCAATTGAACACATTTTTACAATACAGACATCTGTCATGTGTCAACCCCCTCCCTTCTACCACTACAACCCCTTAATTTTAAATAAGAAATGTATCATGTACGGCACATCATTGAAAAGGTAATTTTATGGGGAAGTCAGAATTATGACACTTAGTTGCGATATTTTTAATTTTTAGCGTCCTATATCGGGACAAAACACCTGTAATGTATTATAAAGTGTAACACTTCATTTGAAAGCTAATTGTCCAAATGTGTTATTACACATAAACTAAAACCTATGAGGCCTAATAGGTTTTTCTACATTAAACAATTCAGGATCTTGCAAAAAGACAGGTTCCTTAAGATAGTAGGCCATAAGACCGGCTGACTGGGCCTTAGAAATCTCAGATTGGACCAGTTCTTGTTGCTGTTTGCACAACCCCGTGATGTGCCTGCCATAAATTCTTCCAGTACAAGGCGATTGAAACTGTGATAATAACCTGACGTTTTTGTAATCGACTGTTATGTTGTGTTTGCATAAAACGCACTGTATTTTCTCCTTTTCGTATGGATTTTCCATGTCGAATTGCGGGGTGTCTGTGCTCGATGATCGCACTATTGAATGCCTCAGGTTGATTTGAGGGACTAATCTGCGAATTGTTTATGCATTTTAATTACTAATTCAATGCACCACATAACATTAATATAAATATTTTCATATTGCACTCACAACAAAATAAAGTTAGCAATAATGTTTAAAATAATGCATGAATAATTTTCAAATTATTGCAAGTGCAATATGGAGGATATTTATATTAATGTTATGTGGTGCATTGAATTAGTAATTAAATTTGCTTTCAAATAAAGTGTCACACTTTATAATACGTACAGTTTTTTATCCCGATACGCCCTCTATCTACAATTAAAAGTATCGCAATGAAGTCATATTTTAATTCCTTATAAAATTACCTTTTTAATGATATACTACACATTGTAGTGTCACACTATAATACGTAGTAGTTTTTTATCCCACTAGAGGGCAAATTTAAGAAACGCAATATACAGAAATATTTCTGAATTCTCCATTAAATTACCTTTTCAATGATGTGCCATACATGGTACATTACCTATTTAAAATTAAGGTGTTGGAGAAGTGCAAGGGAGGGGGTTGACACATGACAGATGTCTGTATTGTAAAAATATTTTTAATTTAGAATAAAAATCGACCTGTTTTAGCATTTTCTTAAAATCCAATGATTAATGCTGAAAAACAGGATAAAACTGTTTATCAAAAATGGCTAGATTTATCGAATTAGTTTATAGAACAAAATCTGCTTAAAAATGCATTTTTTACAAGATGCGTTATATAAGAAAGATCCTCCCATCGAAAAAAATATATTGAGCTCAGCGCCATCTACATATTGACCTATTTAAAATTAATTTATATCTAAAATTGAAGTTCTCTTAGCGCTCTATGAACTCGCTTTCACAGAATTAAAATATCTCTATTACTTACCAAAATATCCGGCCTGGGAGTTTTTATTGGTACACCCTGTATACCAGTGCCCAATATGTATTTGCAGTTAACTTTTACGTGCACTGGTAGCAATATCTACAATGCTTTCCCGCCATATTGGTTATTCAAAAAAAAAAATGATAAAATTTTGTTGATATATGCACCACTCTTTAGAATATTTACCATTTTAAAAAGTATTTTTAGTCAAAAATAGTTCTGCCAGTTAAAGGGTTAAGCAGATGGGTGAAGATCAACCTTACTTTGGATTCTAGACTATGAGTTATAAATTTATTTCCTTCTCAAACTATTTCCTCACCTCATGATTGTGATCTATTTTAAATGAATTTATATATAGGTAAAATTCTTCATTCTAGTTAACAATTTGTATTTATAAAAAAGAAATAACCTTATTTCAAATTAAATTTATGTAACTGATGACGGCTCAATCCTCAGTATGGATTCCTCGATTTCGATTCTATATTGAACGAATCCTTGGCGCAAATTTGTCGGTATTGTCGTTTTTGTTGCCAATAAAAATTTTTATTGTGGTAATGAAGTAAGGAGTAATTAATCGGCCACCTATGTGCCAGATTCATTAAGATCAATTTGTTGCGATAAACAATTTAATTAAAACCGAGTTTTATTGGCACTAAAAATATTATTTATACACCTGACATAAGCTCAATGATGACCATAATGCATTTACTAATAGGCGTAGAGGTATATATTAAATTTTAATTTTCTGTTAAATAACATTTACGATAAACAAAGCAAGGGGTTCTTTTTTATATTTTTAAGGCCAGCAACATAGTTTGAACGAGTAACCACAGTAACTGATGCACAATATGATAATGCCTGTGTTCAGATCAAATTTAATTGAAACGCGATTATCAGATATCAGTATAGCCATTAAACATCTTACTGGATAAGAGACACATTTTAATTACCGTGAGTAGATATCCATTACTAACCTTAAAGAGGCTAGAATTAGGTCTAGAATTAGCATCGTTCATAAAATAATCAGTTGGGTCACTCTGACTGACGCCTCAGATCTCCTCTAAATATTACTTTGCCGACAAATTCCCGGGAAATAAGCGTTAGCCGTCTCTCTTATAAAACCTTATGAACAGTGACACAACTACATAGCCTGCTGGATACCTGCTAATTTTATTTATATATGATGATATTAGAATGTCCCAAGCAACAACGAAAAATTACTGAACTAATCTATTCATTCATAATTGAGCCCTTAGTTAATACAATCTTTCAGACTGTGTCTTATATTACGCATCGCCAGCCGAATAAGAAAGAATAAGACGACTGCTAATTTGAGTAGGGATGGTTTGTGGAAAGTTTATTTATCTGAGGAACGAGCATGTATTTTATGAATAAATCAGAACTTACGGCTACAACGCTTGCTTTACGTTGCTGCCACACTTCAAAATTAATTGCGTACTTTCCTGAAAATCATCTTTAACTATGATAGTTGCAACAAAAAAAAATACAATAAACTAAAAATAACTGCAGACATTAAGAATGAAAATATATTTCCTTATTGTAACTTTGATAAGATTTTTTTGCATTTTAAAGCCTTACGTGGGTATCACCGCGCAATTCCATTTTTAACCGACTTCAAAAAAGGAGGAGGTTATCAATTCGTCGCGATATTTTTTTTTTTTTTTATGTATGTTCAGCGATTATTCTTTAACACGGTGTCCGATTTCAATGATTCTTTTTTTGTTAGAAAGGGGGTACTTCAGGGGTGGTCCCATATAAATTTAGTCAAAATCTAATAATTGGGTCCATGAGAAAATCCTCAAACTCTTCATTTTTTATGTATGTTTAGCGATAATGCTTTACCACCTTGTCCGATTTATATGATTCTTTTTTGTTAGAAAGGGAGTACTTTAGGGGTGGTCCCATATAAATTTAGTCAAAATTTAATAATTGGGTCCATGAGAAAATCCTCAAACTCTTCATTTTTTATGTATGTTTAGTGATAATGCTTTACTACCTTGTCCGATTTATATGATTCTTTTTTTGTTAGTAAGGGGGTACCTCAGGGGTGGTCCCATATAAATTTGGTTAAGATGTGGTGATGGAATCTGCACGTTTTTGAAGTCGGTTTTTTAAAATTTTTAATTTCTAATACTTGTTGAATATAAAATTAGTCTAGTAGTTGTTCGTAGTTGGTCCCAAATCATACTAGAAGCCTCAAATTACAATGTGGTCTTACTAACAATGTTATGAAGCAGAGAAACGTATCAATATTTTATACAAAAGATAACACTGATTGACACATAATTTGTGACATAAATTTTTTTAGGTGTTTCTAATGCAGTTTGATACCCTGAAGTCAAATCTGAAAACAGAATTTTTCTATCACCCACAGATATTCTGTAACCTGCGGCTTTAGATTTTACAATACGTAAAATTTCATTATATTGCATCATCTCATATTTTCATATGATCAAGGATCTATCCGGTTAAGACCGGTTTCTGCCTGCTTGTTCGAAGTAAACAGCGTATTTTACGATCATTTTATTTTACAAAATTTATGAGTAGACTAACGGTATCCGAATCGGTTACATTTCCTGTCTTTGGAGAGCAAAACGTTTTTGAGTTTACATTCTTTTACGTTTTGTAAATTACTGTGTTTAAGATTTTTAGGTACAATGCCTAGGCAGTGCGTAAATAGTGCCAACAGTTTTTGTTATGTGTGCGGAGAACTAACTTTTAAATCACAAAAACGTAATTTTACTCCGCTTGTGCTAAAAGCTTACGAACTGTATTTTGGTGTTAAAGTTGGGGACCAAGACAAAGCATGAGCCCCTTATATCTGTTGTAAAACTTGTGTAACATTGTTAACAGCTTGGTTACAAGGTTCAAATCGTAAAATGCCCTTCGCAGTGCCAACGGTTTGGAGAAAACCTAAATACCATGTTACAGACTGCTATTTTTGCCTCACGAATATTAAAGGTATTGGACCGAAGTCTAAAGATACGGTTAAGTACTGTAATTTACCATCAGCTTTAAGACCTGTCAAATACAGAGAACAACTTTCTATTCCAAAAGCACCAGCACCTTGGAGTCTCGATGCAGAACTAGAATCGACTGGTTCTTTAAGTGATGTTACAGAATCCGCAAAGGAAATGACAACCGATCCTTTACTTGATTTACCAGGATGTTCAACAGCGCCGCATCTAATTTCGCAGGGTGAACTTAATGACTTAGTTCGAGATCTAAGCCTTTCAAAATCGCAGTCCGAACTTTTAGCATCCTGATTAAAAAGTTGGAATCTTCTCCAAAGTGGTGTAAAGATTACTTTTTACAGAAGAAGACCTCACAAATTGCTATCTTCAAGAAGGGGATCTAGTATACTGTTCAGAAGTTAACCTTTTATTTAACGCACTAGGACAGAAACATGATCCACGTGATTGGCGTCTTATCATTGATTCCTCTAAACTTAGGTTAAAGGCGGTATTGGTTCATAACGGTAACGAATATTCATCTGTGCCCTTAGCTCATGCGATTCATATGAAGGAATCATATGAGAATATGAAAGTTCTTTTAGAGCACAACCGTTATCATGAGTATGGTTGGGCAATGTGTGGAGACCTAAAAGTAATAGCCCTTCTTCTTGGAATGCAACTAGGATATACGAAATGTTGTTGCTTCCTTTGCGAATGGGACAGCCGTGCGAGAGACCGTGATTATGTACAGAAGCAGTAACCAGTACGTCAGGCACTAACTCCGGGACAAAAAAAGTTACCAATGAACCTCTAGTTGATCCCAAAAAGGTATTACTATCACCTTTGCATATTAAATTGGGTTAAGTGAAGAATTTTGTTAAAATAATGGACAGAAATGGAAGAGGGTTCTTATATCTGAAACAAAAATTTCCAAGAATCAGTGAAGCAAAAATTAAGGAAGGCATATTTGTGGGTCCGCAACCCAGATAGCACACGACGTCTGAAAGATGTCTTTTTTGTGTCTTGGTTTGGTCTCAATGTCCTAGGACGTTATTAAGACGTCTTATAAGACGTCTTTCCATACTAATGTGAGAGCTCAAAGACGTTCTTAAGACGTCTTAAAGACGTCTTGCCAAATCCATATATTAATGTGGGAGCTCTAAGACGTCTTTAAGACGTCTTACAAACGTCTTTCAGTCGGACGGAAACTTGCACGGTTTACATAATTCAAATTTAACAAGAAGAATCAAATGAAGTGAAGTTTGACGTCTGATTTAACATTATATTCAAGCCGGATTTCCGATTCGGACACCATCGTGGCAATATTGAAATGACGTTCTCCGAATCGGGAGCTAAGCAATCCCATAAAAATCACAAAATATCTAGTATAAAAGTGACCATCCGAATTTAAAAAGTATACAAAATTAAACAAAATATTCAGTGTAATATTTGGAGAAGATAATTGAAATCAAATATCAAGTGCAGTGGAAAAGTGAAAAGATTGAGCCCATATAAAACGAAAAAAAAATAAAAAAATACATTCAAGCCCAAGCCAAAAATTTGTATGGCCCAAGCTCATTGTGGATTATTGATTATTTTATTGGGTACACGATTATAGCCACCAAAAGCGACTAGGGACTATTTTGAGCATTTGTGTCTCTTTCTACTTAAATAATATGGAACAAAAACCAGAGAGGGAAGAATAGTTTGTGTTACCGATGTAGCACGTTCCTGGAATACAGGTAATAAATGAATATTTGTTTATATACATAGAACATTAATATCCTGTTTCTTCTAAGAATAATTAAATTAATTTAAAAGTAAACATCTTAATATAAGATTTAATTCAGATATTCGTCAAGTATAATTTTTGTTTGTTTTTATGGAGATTTTAAGAACTAATAATATCAAAAACTCCCTATTAGATAGCCATTTTGAGTAAAGTTAAAGTAAAATTGTTAAAGTAGGCGATTAAGCATAATAGCTCATATTGCATTAAATGATTATAAAAATTCTTTGATTTAAAATTCTAAGAAATTAATTTTTTGTTTTGCTTTATAGATAACTGTTCTGTCGGTTTTTACTAACTTTTGCAAAGTATAATTTTCTGTGACTAGATGCTCTTAACTAAATTTATTTTTGGGAGCTATACAAAGGCAACTACAAATCAAAGAGAAAAATCAATCCAGTTATGGCTAAAGAGGAGTACGAATGCGCTACAAAGAAAATAACTCTTAATAGATATAATAAATATTTTAATTCTATTTTTTGCATTATTTTATAATCTGCAAGGTTGTTCTACTTTTTAATAACCAAGATATCCGACGTCCTACGTTCATAAGACATCTTAAAGACGTCTTATTTATGGCTTCACAAGACCATTATAAGCTATTAATAAGTCGTCTTATTTATGGCTTATTTAAAGCTTCACAAGACCATATTAAGCCATTAATAAGACGTCTTAAAGACGTCTTATTTAAAGCTTCACAAGACCATTATAAGCCATTAATAAGAAGTCTTAAAGACATCTTATTTAAGGCTTTACAAGACCATTATAAGCTATTAATAAGTCGTCTTAAAGACGTCTTATTTATGGCTTATTTTAAGCTCTACAGACCAATATAAGCCATTAATAAGACGTCTTAAAGACGTCGCTTTTTGTAACATCAGACGTCTTCTAAGACGTCTTAAAGACGTCTTTAAGACGACTTTGTGCTATCTGGGAAATAAGAGAAGTAATGAAAGATAAAACATTTAAAGAAATGCTCAATGAAACTGAACTACAAGCCTGGAGTGCTTTTAAAAGCGTTGTTGCAAATTTACTTGGAAATGTGAAAGCTGACAATTACAAAGATCTTGTGACTGAACTACTTACTGCCTATAAAGAAATGGGTTGTAATATGTCTCTTAAAATTCACTTTCTGGACTCCCATCTGGATTTCATCCCCGAAAATTTAGGGGCGGTAAGTGACGAACATGGGAAACGGTTCCACCAACACATTTCTGCTATGGAGACACGGTACCAAAGCAAGTGGAGTGCCAGTTTGCTTGCTGATTACTGCTGGACATTGTTAAGGGATACTCCAAAAACAAAATATGGCCGAAAAACATCGACAGTAACATTTTAAGGTACTCTTTGGTTAATAAAATAATATAACAATAATATATCTATCACTGTTTTCTTAAAAAACAAAAATACCTCATAGCAAAAAAACTATAGGTGATAGAAGAAATCTGTAGGTATTTTCTGCTTCTGTGTCAATTTTTACATAATAAACACTTTGTTTTGTTCATGTCACAAAAAACAAGTGGATTTTTGTTTACTAGTGTAATTAGTGATCAATTAATTTGACGAATGATATACAAGGTACGCATGCCTTTTGGTAAAAGAACAAAGTAAGAAATCTTGAAACGTCCGTTCTTGTTTAAAAGAAGGCTTAGAAATATGAACCCATCAGTAAGATATCTAGGGGTAATCGTGGATAGTTACCTTACTTGGAAACAATATTCGAAAATATGGTCAAAAACTGTAAAATTCCAGTAGAAAAAACATGAAAATTAAACCTGAAAATGCTCCACCAACTTAATTCCGAAATAACAAGATATAGTTGTTAGTTTATATCCAAAATTAATTCAGAAAATAACCCTTAATATAGTCTCAGGAGTACAGAAGTTCGAATGCCTTTGTATTACAGGTGCACTTAAAAGTACAAAGACAGTCTATTCAGATTTTCCCGCCCCTACTACTGGTTATAACGAGTTGCTAAAAAAGTTTATTCATTATGTAAAGAAGTAGATTAGAATGAGTATATATAAAAGACTATTTAGGACCAGTACCTAAATACGAGGCAAGCAAGGCTAACAAACAGGTGTCATATCGATAGTAGACAACCATCTTTATTCTCTAGCCTTAAAGAGTTATTAGGTCTAGTACTAGAATACAGAAGCCTCAGATTACTATGTGGACTTACTGAGATGAACCAAACATTGAGGCTAACACTGACAGGATATTGACAAGGGGGGTAGCCATGTGTGAGTTGAAGTAATTTTAAGGTGAAGGGGGGAGAAAAAGTCCTTTATATCTCACAAGGAAAGTCCAATGTTTAATTATTCAACAAAACATTGAGTGCGACCGGTTTCGAAGTAACATCACTTCATCTTCAGGCTCGCCTAGTGGAAAGGAGAATATGTGGTGTAAGGTGTGTTGACTTTGAGCCCACAATATATAAAATAGTAAAAAAATAGAAAAAACTCACCATACTCTCCATCCACTAGGGAATACTACAAACAAGTTTCATCAAAACGTGGGGGATGAAATAAATTGTAAAACAAAACAATGTTACAAGTTATAAAGTTAAAAATATTTGAAAATCAAATATTAGTCGATAAAACAGTTAAAAATTTTAAAATATTCAAGACGATACAAAAACAAATTACATACATTAAACAGATTAAAAGATAAGGCCTGTTTTAAGCAAACATTGCTGTTTTTTATAAAAATCTAACATTTTTGAAAGGAGACCTGTCAAGTTAAGGCCTCTACAGGTGGTGGTAAGTACTAAAGAAAAAATTCTTGGATAAACTTATGACAGGGTATAGGCAATAAGATGTAAACTATGAGTGAAGAAATATTTATTATATAAGATTTGGGCCATGAACCAATCACCAAGTGTATGTGATGTTGTAGGATAAAATAAGAAAGAAGAAGAGATGACTGGGTTAACTGTTGTGAAGCAACTGAAAAATAAAAGAAGAAGAAAATGACAGATGTGAAAACACACAACTTAACCTAGTCCTTAAACATGCACGTTGGTTTTTTGTGGGAAAAAATTACTTACTGAAATGTACCCCTTGCAAGGAAATATGTGAATAGAAATAAAAGGGGGAGGTTAAAAAGGAAGTTAGAACGATAAATTTAGATTAGTGTTGAGAAAACTGGAGGAGTTTCTGACATTATCTGGGCATTTAAGCAACCAACAGGATTTAATTTTAAATTTCTCAATATCTCGAGGCTGTCGAAGCTATTAAGAGTAAATCTATGGTAGGAACTATGTAGGATTTCGAAACCTTCAGTTGAATCGAAGTCGTGATTTGAGTCCAGTAGGTGGTTGGCAAAATGTGAAAATCCTGTTGTATTTTGGTTAAGACAACGCAAATGTTCTTTTAAACGGATCTTGAAGTTTCGAAATGTGCGTCCCACATAGAAAGAATGGCAAGATTTACAAGTTAATTTATAAATTCCAGACAAGTCAAAGGGATCTAATTTATCTTTATTATGAACAAATAACTTATGTAATGAGGAGGGGGTTTTG